GATGGAATGCGCTGGCGAAAAAACGATTGAAGAAGTTTAGTGAAAGTGCACCATTGAGAGATTAAGTGTTAGCATGAGTGTTCGCGTAAAAATAGAAAGACCTCATGGATGGCTTCCATCTTCATGCTTCATGCTTCAATTTACCTATGTCATCTTGAATCAAGCTTGTTGTGCCATTTGTCCTTAAGAGCAAATCTTTGAAGACTGCAGATTAATAATATTGCGGAAAACCTACAATACACCAAGGATGCATTATGAAAAACGTAGACTGCGGCATATGTTTATCACACAGTGAACATCACAAACAAATCTCCAATTATATCTTCGAAGAAAAATTTTTCTGGAATTTTATTCATAATCAGCAGACAGTCGTTGATGATTTAGTTGCCAGCTTGACGACGCTAAATCGTTATTAAGAAAAACTATTCATTCAAATGTTTAATACTGAAGACTATAAAATAGATTAAGACTACATAAAACAGGTTAAGAAAAACTAATAACATAATGCATTCATTTAATAAATGTTTCGTGCTAAAGCTCTGACATTTTCAGAGAAAAGAACACAGCTAAAAATACAAGTGAACGCAAAACAGTAAGGTAACGAACGAAGATTTTGGGTAATAAGATAGTAATAATATTTCTAGGCTAACCTCACAGTCAGTGATGAAGTCCAGCATTGAGAATGCCTTCGGTCAAAATTAACAGTCGCTTTCAAATGCGCGATGGATAGTCGGTCAAGTCGCTTTTTGAAAGAGCAAATATTGTTTTCGAAGATAAAATATCTGATGGAAAGTCATTGCATGATTCTGCTATTGTATTCGAAAGTAGCTATTGAATGATATTATTTGTAGGTTTTCTAGGTGGTTTGTAGGCGAGATTTCGTGTGCTACATGCAAAATTGAATGGTTTTGAATGTATTCTGATGGAATGGATGTAGTAAATCATAATCTGTACATCAGACTAAGAGTTTCATGAATACCTCTCATTAAAGGTTAACGCAATTGATCATTAGTAATTTTACATTCATGAAAAGTTGTTCTATTGAAAAATCATCACACTTTTCCTATACAATAGCAATTACATTTAAAAAATGAGAATGCCAAAGCTCAGTTACATGTTCGTTCACGTCTCCCAAGTGATATTTATAAGCCAAGGTATGAATTTAGAGGTCATCGAGCATAACAGGGAATTGAGAAAGATGCGTAAGATTTACAGTAGGTATTCCTGTGAATAAAACTGATGTCTTTCTCAGATTTTAAGTGATCATGTATCAAAATTCTCTGAGGTTTGCACAACGGATGTTTCAATAATATTCAGTGATTAATTTGATGGATTGGTTGATATGAATAGTCTCGCAAAATATGTCGATGTCGGAGAATTTGGAAATTGAGATTTCTAGATCGTATTCATGAAGTCGTTCTTCAATGACTGAATCCAATGCCTTCTGTAATAATGAACGTTCGTTGTTGTCATCAGAATATGGAACACATAACCTAACATCATCCGAACCTTCTACAGCTGGTCACCATTGAATGTTCAGATGTTAATCCAACTGAATATAGTAGCAATATGAAACACGTACTACCAATCGAGCATCTAGCATTGCTTCACATGAGATATACAAACAGAAATCTCGGTAAAAACTAGTTTTAAAATCTCATTTCATATTGAAAGAGAAATGCTCTACAAATTCAGTTGAGGGCTGGCATAAATAATTCATGTTTTCTTAAGGCAACCTATCAATTGATGTTCGAATCATGCTGTGAAGACGGTGGCCCAACAGCGGATAGTGTGAAATTTTGGTTTGATTTTTTGGATTACATGATGCGAGTGATCGAAGACGATAAACACATCTATACGCCGGTGCTCAATCAATTCCCTCAAGAGCTCAATATTGGTAACCTGTCGGCTGCAACACTCTGGCAATTGTATAAAACTGATCTGCAAATGGCTCTTGAAGGTTACTACTGCTTGTTGTGATTCCTGGGCAGTGTTGTGATTCCTTTTCAAGCAGTTCTCTCAAGATAACCTCTCTGAGCATTGGGTTGTATCTCGAAAGTATTTATAAAACCGAAACGTGAATTGTTTTACGTGATTAATTTAATTTGCGATTTTGCTTTTCTATTCGATGGCATTGCCCGTTCCCCTTGTTCCATTTTGTGCTATCTCGACTTAAAGACGGCTAATCATTTTGCGGCTTTTTGACTTGAGGGAATTGCTTGAGACTTGACTTGAAATCTCGACTGACTTCTTCCACTCAGTTGTTCTCGTTGTCGCATTCGACTGTGCAAATCGTTTGCTCGAAGAGACGAGCTTACACTGTTGTGTATTCATTCACCTAATGATTAAAGCCTAACGCTTAATTTTACAAGAGGAAAAGAGCAGTGTGTGTTTTTCGATTAACCTAAAAGCTTCGGCTCGTTGAAGTGTGAAAATTTCTCATCAGAACATTGTTATCGCTCTTGCGTGAAGAAAACTTACTTTTGATCTGTGTTTTTTCTTTTGAACTATTTGTGCAATAGGGAAGAAAATTTCGATAGAATAGAATCAAAAATCGTATATTCTTTTCGCATTCATAAACTCTAAAACCTTTACGATTCATCGTAAAGATCTCTTATTCATTAATTTACTGCTTCGTTCATTTCTGTGACCGAATGCTTCCG